AGAACTGGCGCACGTAGTTCCATGAAGCGCCGTCTGTAAGCAGGCACATGTTTAATGTATGAGAATATTGTGCTACCTTCCAACACACTTCAGTTTCGCCGATTAGCCGCAAGTGTCGCCCTGATACTTGTCTGACGTGGCTAGAGACAAAGGGGTCAGATATAGTTGGTAAAGTGTTAATATCTTCTGTGAAACCGATGGTTAATTGAATACTAGCTGAGTGAATAGTTTCCTGATTACATTAATTTCAAAATTCTTGAAGGAAACTGACGTCCTAGAAATGACATTTGTTATGCTTTTTAGTGAAGTCTACTAGTGTCAAACATTGACCTGGAATTAAGAAAGATTTTTTTGAAGTTATATGTTTGGAGCACGGAAGCGAAACATGAACAATGGGAAAGCCAGAAAGAAGATGGATAGAAGCATTTGAAATGTGGTGCTATAGAAGGATGTTGAAAATTAAGTGCACTGATAAAGTACGAAATGATCTGGTCTTAGACAGGATAGGCGGAGGAAAAATCTTACCAGAAGAAGAGATAGGATGGTGGGACACATTCTGAGGCACCCAGGATTGGTTAATTTGATTATGGAAGGAACAGTTGAAGGGAAGACAAATATTGGAATATGTGACGCAGATTTTTGAGGATGTGGGCTGCAAAAAATATGTGGAAATGAAGAGATTGGCGCAAGATAGGCGAAAATGGAGGACCGCATCAAACCAGTCGGAGAACTGATGACAAACAAACAGAAAAAACAGTGCTAATGATAATATTCCTACAGGATTTAGAAGAAGTCGGCTGTTCTATAAGCATGAGTATATTGTCCCTTGAAACGAAGCAGGAATTGTTGGAAATACATAGCCCATCTTATCGGTTCAAGATATATGTTTATTAAATGTAAAGGTATACTGCTTGATAGATCGAGTCTGTCTGTATATGGCGTTCGAATTCCTCAAACGTCTAAAGGATTTCATTTTTTTTTGTCAGGGACTTGCTGCATGTTATTCACAATTTATAAATCGGTCTCAATGTAAGAGCTGTAACTGGTACTTTTCTGGAAGGCCTGAAAGAAATTTCACTTTTATCTATTTACGAAGTAGAAGAAATTTTAAAATCTGAAAAGTAACGTCCCAGGAATACGTTGTACATTCTATCTTCTTAAGAAATTTTAAAGAACTGTGGTTTAAGGTAATGGACTACGTTCACGTTTTTCAAAATGTGGTTTAGTGGAAGGCTGTTGTGAACGTGGTAATAAACCTTCGAGTTCCAAAATTTGTAAAAAGATCTTGTTTATCTGAACCGGAAAAGTTAATCAAGAAGGTCTCTGCTTCACGAAGTTGGCTAATGGCGAACGTTTCAGACACACTGTGACACCTACTGGTGGTAAGAGATTCCGAGCGAGCGAGAAAATTTTGTGTGCTGAAATGGAAAGGCCAGGAAATGGTGCTCGATTTTAAGATTTTGCCCAGAGGTTCGCTTGGAAAGGCTGAGATAATTGTGCAAACAGTCAGAATAACCGGTTGTGAAACTCTCTGTATATCTGTATTTGTGTGTGTGCGCCTAACAGTTGATTGTTATGTAAATGACAAAAAGTGAATCATTCCTCTCTCTTGCTTCATTATTGTACCGGTTTCCTGAATTTCATAGTTTGCACTGCGTTTAGTTCATTATGAGACAACTGTAAGATATTCCAACCATAACACTGAAAGCAATTTCTTCCTGTTAATTCTGTTAGTTCTTGATACAGCACGTAGCCAATATGTTTTCTGAATGGGCACTGTTTTTTATATTTGACTTGTGCAATTGGAAGAGTACTAAAATGCCGCACGCGAAGAAATTTGGTTCAGTTTACGTCCAAAACTGTCTAGAATATCCTGAAAAGTGTTGTTAATTTTGAAGTCTATAGAACGAATTTTTATTTCTTCATCGCTGAGATATTTCTTTTTAGATACAGAGAGAAAATCCGATTGAGGGTATTTTCTTCGGCGTTGGAAACAATTGAATAGCAGAAAGAAAAATATAAGACAATCGGTTTACCGCGAAAACATGAGGTAGATCTGTAACAAATCGATTCTAAAGGGCTCTGACGATTGTGTATTATCATCTGGATCACGTCTGGATTGCTGAGTTGTTGGACCAATCCGTCTCCTGGGATTCTGAAAAAATATATAAATAAATAATCCAGAAGTGGATAATTTGTTCTCAGATGAGAAGGCATCTAACGCATGTGAACCAAATAAACAATAAAACAGCAGTAATGCTTTAACCCGCACACGCTGCTTCTACATATGTCCTATCGCTTCGCTGCTTTTCCCTCCCTCTCACGTGGGTATTTGTAACGGTGAATGAGCTCAGAGTTATTTTGCGTCCACTGAACACATATTTCAATCAGCGAGCGACTTGTAAAATGTTACAGTCGTAATTTTCTACTGCTTAAATCATGAGGATTTTCCTACTCTACACTGCACACTTGATCTTACGAGGATAAGTGACGGACGATTTATCGTATGTAGTTGAATTTTCTATTTTGTGCTGTGAGTATGTACTATAATATCAAACTTTTAACGGCGCATATGAAGCTGCAAGGAACTACAAGATTAGCGGCTTCTAAAGAGGAAAGGCGTTTGGCCTACAACCATTTTACTGTCCAGAATATCTAAAAACCTGCAATGCTTATAATTTTAAATTGTCTGCTGACTTTTGAAATTTTAGTACAACTAAGTACTACTGGATTAGAAGTAAGAGTTCCCTAGTCGTTTGCATCTTGGTAGCCTAGACTTGGCTATACAGTATGCCATGTTTATAAATTAAGAAACATGACGTTTTTTATATAAGAATATGCTCAACGAGTTATATTATATACTCGTACACCTACTGGGATATCTACATGGTCTATTCTGTGGCAATTTATCAGAATGGTACTTAATGTTCAGCATATTTAAGTTAAAAATGTAGTACAGTTTAGTTAAACAGAACATCTGAACAGGCTTCAGTCAGTCAGTGACACACCTACTTTCTGAAATGAAGCGTCGCTCTGAACTCACTCAGGTTGAAATAGCGTTTTGATGAGGATGAGAATCTTCAGTCATTGGACGTGTAAAAAGTAGGTGCTTAATGTAATCAGAGAAGGAACATTAATTCGGCCGAAACTTAATTCATCCTAAAATCTGGTGACTTGCTGTTTTATAACTGATGGCCAGTCTTGAGAATATCTAATTCGGTTTATAAAGACTTATTATTATTTTATTATAATCTTCAGTTGCTACAGACTTATTTGTTTGTAGTTTCCCAGATTTATAAATTATCACATCTTACAGTAAATGAAGCGTCAGTAAGCATGAAATTTACGCAAACTCTGGTATGTTAATGTTGCGGCTTACAGTTGAAACGAAGGTTTCTTGTTTCTCTTGGCGGAATCGGACTTGGTGCAAGTCAACAGGATATCGATATTCAAATGCGACCTGTTCCACATTGTTTGCGATTCAGTCTGCTGGTTTGTTTGCGGTTTCGAGGGTACAAGTCTTTGTCTTCGTAACCGGATATTGGTTACCAAACTGTTCCACATTCAGTGGAAGAGTGTATCATATATAATGAGAAGGAAATCGGAAATAAGAGATGCATGTTATGATAAACATTGTATCACGATATGACCGAGAACAAAAGGAATAAATCCAGGTATTTGTAGACTGGAGCAACCCATTTATTTAATCAATGCTTTATCCTCTCATCAACCTAATGAACATCCATAGTTAAGAAAGTACTTCACACGTTGAGAGCCATTGCTTCCGTACGAAGCCAGATTTACTGGTTAGGTAAAGAGTAATGATGTAGTGGCACTGGGCTGTATTTGTAGAAGAGGTGGTGATATTACCTTATTTCCTCAATTAAATACGCACTTTTTTTTCTTATTTTAAAATTTCTTAAGTCTTCTAATTTTCCTTAGATTTTGACCAAAATGACCGGCTTAGTTGTTAAGAACTGGCATTATTTTGAATACACACTGGTAGTAAGTTACTCTTCAAGAAACCATCGTACCACGGTCAAAACAACCTGCCGACCATTGAAAGTAATGTTTCTTTATAGCTTTAGAATTCGTTTTATGGATGCTACTATGGCTTCCTCCGTTTATCGGAGAATCTGCTTTTTTCCTCTACGTTAAAGGCTTCTCCAGATCGACTAAGCAACTACACATATTGGTTGAGCGAGAGATGATAAAAATACATAATAATGAGTTTTTTAATTATTGTTTTTACGCATTATATTTAAATTATATAATTCAAGGGTTGGTTATACAGAAGAAAATTGCAAGAAATATTATTTGTCTATATACCTCGCCG